GAAAGCTTTGTTAGATCACCTGTCCAAATCATCCACGGGTTTGCCTTCCCCACCGATTCCACACCAGCAGCCATAACCATTGAAATCAAGGGGATTTTTTTTAGTAACGCGAAGAACCATCAGTCCGAAGGAAATAACACCCTTCTTAGTCGCGTTCGCACTTCCCTCATCTGCTAAGCAATTAGTAAGTATAATCTCACTCTCAAAACATTATTTTCATGGGTGAATAGTTGTAATTATGCTTTGTGTCTCTAGAGGAAACACAGCTGGTCTGCTCTTGGTTTCACAGGTTAAAACGTTGAATTTTTGCTGACATAAGACGTCTTAAATATGAAAGCGATCTTCGCAGTAATGAACACAACTTGAGCAGGAGTGAAAATATGGCCTGAAAAAAATTCATGGCTGTACGAGATGTGACCCCCTGGCCTGTACGACACCGGTGCAGTGCTGTACCAACTAAGCTAACAAGCCAACCGGGAGCTGGTTACTATGTTGGTTCCAATTAAACCCGTGAAGTGATGAATAAATGACTGTGAATATATGAAAATCACGTATGTGAACTGCGGATAAATACGTAAATGTGAAAGCGATCTTATTTTCACTGCTGCTCGAGTAGTGTTCATCACTACGAATATCGCTTTCACATTCACGTCTTCATCCGCAGTTCACATACAAGATTTTCATTTATTTTTTTCTCAGAGGGCACGGTAACGAATCCTACAATCTGATTGGTCAATACGCGGTCCGTATTTTCCTATCTCCGCCCACGGGCAACGGTTACGTTTTCGTGAGTCGCCGAGTTCATCCCTACCTTCTAATCTTGAGTAATGAGATACCTACCACCTTTGTGGCCAGATTCTGCGATGAGATTTGGTGAAGCGATTACGCCTCCTAGAGCAGTCAGCATCAACAAAATGACTTTAGATTCCATCGTGAATCTGTAAACCCAAGAGTATGAATTAGCCAACGGCAAAATTAGGTTTGGTTTCTGTGAAACAATCATATTTAAGAAAATCAATTTATCGCCAAAATCTGAGGCTTCAGTAATTTTTTTTCATCTTTTCTCGTTTCGCTCTTTTTCTTCTAGATTTGTTAGAGCATCTTTTTTCCGATTAGCCAAAAGATCGAAGATTGCTTCTTTCTTTGTTTGATATTGGCTTTTTGCGACTCCACTTCGCGGCCGAAATATGCAAAATAACAATCACCGTTGTCTACGA